AGAATCAAATATGATGCTGACGATCGGACCGAAAATAGAGAGCACTTACAACACATTCAAAGATTATTGCAGAAAGTGCAGAGCAGTTTGAGATCCGGGAAAAATCTATATTTCTGAGGGGCAAAATTTAATTTTAATTATTCCTTTTATATAATAAAATTATATGAGACCTTCAGGCGAAATAGAGAGTAAATTTCAGGAATGACTAAAGTCAGGCAGTACGTACCACACCTGGCAATAACTGTTACTGATTCAGTGAAAGCCAGTTTTTTAGAGAAAAGGTACTGATTCTTTTGTTCGTAGGCCAAGAAGTATGCAGTTAAAATATATTTAAAATGATAAGTTAACATGTTATGTTATTAATTCTTATTATACACTAAAAAAATTATTATTCATTTTCATCTAATATTATAATACTGTTATTTGCTTATCCCTGCACATTTTTCAGGGCCTCACTATATATGCGATCGATTGTGTTTAAGCATGAAGCAGATTATATATGGTGTGTGTTCTGACGGGCAACATTATTTGCTTCCACCGGAAATGACATTTTCATCTGGGATCCTATGCCATGTACACAAATGTATATCATCCCTATCCTCTTTGTATTCCAATAGTAAGAAGTAAGTTCCGTTCGGACAGCCTGCTTTGAGGAACAAACTCTTGGCCGGATGTTTTCGTAATCATTACAATATGAAATCTTCAAGTATAGGGTTAACCGTTATCTTTCCTGAATAACCCTTCTTGTCTTTACTTATGCTCATAAAACACGACACAATAAAGCTCTACCTTAAGTGGTTCTTGGGCCTTGTATTGGAGAAACAATAGTATAAAAATAGAGAAATATATACATGCGTACATTTGTATGTACTTACGTACGTATGTATGATGATTTTCTAGGCGTAGCTTATATGTGGCACGATGCCAAAAGTATGGGGTATCCAGTGAGGCTTGAATTCACTATTCAGTCGTAACTGTTCACGAAAGACAAGCATGCTAACCATTACACCGCGTATGTGCGTACGTAAAAAAATAGAGGCTTGTGTTAGAACCAAAATTTAAGAAAAACGACTCGAGAAACACAAACTGAAAAACAGACCATCATCTGACAAAGAAAATCCAGCAGTTGCTAAAAATAAGTTTCCATCAAAGTAACCACAATTGGAAATCGATTGGATATTGAGACCTTGTAACGTAAACAGTCGACATCACTGACTTTTGGGTGAGACCTATTGTAGCTACTCAGCTGTCAGAAGCGTGGAGATATTTTAGTATTATCTCCCTTTACTCGTGTCAATGGATACCAATAATAGATGCAAGATATTTGAGGACGCTGGTTCGCAAACATGACACTGACCCTCTGTGTCCATAGACGGTTATTCTATCTTTCCGATTTTTATTTCGTATTGGATTAAAACATTAGTTAATAATAGACATTTTTATTTCTTATACATTTTCTTTTTTTAAGTTCATTTACATTCCGTCCAATATTACAAAGATGTTCCTTCATTTATTAAGTATTTTTAGACTTTAATGTTTTCGCCATGAAAGTATATATACAACTTTTCGAGACGAACTGAACTTTCTAATTAATTCTAAATTTACTCTGCTAAGACGTTAAAGAAAACTGATGAAATGCGAATGTTCATTTATACGTGTAAGTACAAAAGCTATTGGTTATAAAATTTCTAACATTCTATTTATATTCTAATGGCAATATTGAGTTCGTCGTAATGCAGTAGTTAGAAGAGAAGTGTGTATAAGGCAGGGCCTACATGGGTGACCTCTTGGGAAAACCAAATGCTGTAAGCTTGGATATGCAGATGGTGTAGAGGATAATGGCTCGGAATTGTTATGTGCCGTGTCTCTTCCCAAAATAGGCGATCACGGCTCTACATTTCTACCGATCCCTTGTAGCTCTCAGTAAGTTTTGTCCCTTTGCTATTTCTCCCAGACCCTGTTTGTTATTTCCTCTACTTGCTTAAGCCAGTTAGATAGGTCACGCTTTTCTTTGTCTCCCTTTCCCTCGGACCGAATTCCGATTCCACTTGGATTCGTTATATTATTCACTTACGTGCAAATACCCTTGGTAAAAATATGGACACAAATATCTTCCCCGAAGCTATGGGTTAATTAGTAAGATTAGTATCACTAAACTATTATTATCTCCCTCAAAAATCTAAAAATAATATTTTCTAACTTTAAATAAAGAAATTGTTTTACATATTTGTCATTTTAAACGTACATTCGCAACATTTTATTTATTACAGAATAAATTACAATAACCAAAACTCATCATGCTAAATCTAGAATATGAAATTTTAAAAATTCTCAGTTACACTTGTGACCCCACTAAATCTTTATGCAAGCCCTAAGGGGACTGAAACCTCCATTTTAAGAGGACCTGAGCTATACAATAAGAATGCAGTGAAACCCTGCATATAACTTATGTAAACATCGATGGTAATCATATTATTATACATTATTATAGAATAACTACCACTTCTTTTAGGTTTTAAAAAAACGAGGACAACCAAATTCTTGTTAGCTGTAATCTTTTGCAAAGTTTTAATTAATTTGGTGACTGTTGTCTGCTTTGTATGTACGACTAGTGCATGTTTATCGATGCGCAAAGTGAAATCGGTGAGCTGAGTTCAAATTCGAACCTAATCAATTGCGTTCACTTTCGCACAACATATCCTTGAGCAACCAATCTTCTCCTTCCAACTGTAGGTTAAATAGCAGGGCGGACTCTTTAGCCTTTGGTGGCAACCAGTCCAATAGGAGAACTCTAAACTCTAAACTGTGAAGAAAGCAACGAAAAATCACTCCATTATGTTCCCCCAAAAAGTATGGCAAATCATAGATAATAAAAAAAGTAATCTATAGAGGGCCATGTTTGTCTAAATCCTGAAGGGATAAGACATTTAATAAGATCTGTATTGCATCAAAACTCACTACAACTAAGATCTCTTTTTGAGGATTTAGCAATATCACACGAGAAATGTTTTGATACTATAAATATATTGTGTGCGAGTGTGTGTCTGTGTGATTTGGATGAGTAAACATTTATTTTCTTAAAGGCAAATTGTTGATTGATTCCAAGAGATGACATTTCCGAACTTCTGACAATAGTAAGAGTTATCTTGAACAGAGTGACAGCTGCAATGACATTGTGGTCGCAATTCTGTTGGCTGTAAATGTCATTTGGCTACAATGTTTTACGGTTATAAAAAAGGACTGACTTTGAATGATTCATCTAAACTTATTAGAAAAATAGAGATGGGTGGAAGTGGTGTCCAGTTATACGTGACTTCGAAACTTGAAACAAAAGAAAGAAAGAAAAAAAGAAAGAAAGAAAAAAAGAAAGAAAGGAAATAAGAAAATAATCAAAAAAGAAAACAAACAAAAAAACAAAAGAAAGAGGAAAAAATCAAGCAAGAAAGAATACAAGCAATAAAGAAATTATACACGAATTCGAAATATGGAAAAACGAGAGAAAGAAAGTCGAGAATAAGAATACACAAGAAAGTGAACGAAAGAAAACAAGCAATAAACAAAAACAAGAAAGAAAGAAAGAAGGAAAGAATGAGAAAAAAACAAAAGATTTTTTAAAAAGCAAGAAAATAAAAGAAAAAAAAACAAGCAAAGAAGAAAACAAGCAAAGAAAGAAAGAAAGAAAGAAAGAAAGAAAGAAAGAAAGAAAGAAAGGAAGAAAGAAAACAGCAGATCAAACAAAAATTAAAAATTGATCAATAAAAGAAGAGGGATTAAGAAATGTGTCGTGATATTTTCAGTTTTAAAATAAATTTCTTCGTTGCCATTTCCAAAGGAATCAAAGGACATAACGGATTTTTTTTAAATTTTAACGGATACATTGTTCTATCAACATTCTACTCTATATTTTACTGGGTAAGATGTTTTGAAAAATAAAATTAGCGATGGTCAAGTATATATGTTCTCAGTCTAGTCAGAATGGTGGCGATGACGCAATTTTTTTAATGGAAATTTAGTACGAGCCTCATTTCACATACTTCTGACTGCTGTCGGCTACTGGATCTGTCCGGTTGGTTGAAGAAATAATTGAGCAAGGAAGCGTATGAGGGAATGAATGAGTAATTCTCTATCTTGTTCCGACAATCATTAGTCTTCAAGGGTGACTGGAATACTGCAAGTGACGTATGAGCAAGAGAGACGGGATCAAACCCTACGGGAAGCAAAGGGAAATATACACATTAATTGATTAATCAACTCAACATGGAAGATACGTGGCTGAGTTATTAGATAGGAATTAACCACGATCTACATTTTCCAGACTTCTGTCCTCTGCTTCCGCCCTCACTTTAAATTTCTCTTTATTTTTATCTATTTCTCTCCCACTCTCTCTCTCTCTCTCTCTCTCTCTCTCTCTTTCTTCTTTCTCTCACTTTTTCATATTTATACACTCCTTTTCTTTCTTTTTCTTTCATTATTGTATTTCTCTTTTCCTTTATCTGTTTACTCTTCCTCTTCTAACACTCTCTTTCTCGCTATTCTTTTCTTCCATTTTCTTACTCCCTTTTTCTCATTACAATTTTTAAGTTTTTTCTTCTTTTGGTTTGCTATTCACTCATTTATTTTCTTTCATAAATCAATAACTTCTTTTAGCATTGTATCTCTTATCACTCTGTCTAGTTTACTTTATTCCTTTTAGCTCTAATTTCCTCGTTCTTTCTCCCTCTCACGTTCTTTCTTCCAATGTGACAGAATGATAATGTTCTTTAAATCAGTCTAACAAAATAAACTTCCTTTCTTTCTTTCTTTCTTTCTTTCTTTCTTTCTTTCTTCCATCCTTTCTTACTTTCTTTCTTACTTTCTTTCTTCTCTTCTTTTTTCCTTTTGCATACCCACTCTTCCGCATCTTACTTTTACACCTTTTCTTTCTAATTTTTCAACTTCATTCTTTCTGTAATAGCTGAGTGGAATTTGCAGAAAAAAAAGAAGAGGTCTGTGTTTGGTATTTAGATCCAAAGTAAAAAAAAAAAATAAATTTTATAATAAAAGAAAAAGACTGTTGAAGAGAGAATATGGAAAGGAAAAGATAGAGACGTGGCAATTAGGTCGGAAGTGAAAATGGGATAACGAGAAAGATGCAAAAAGTTCGAGTAAAAGGAGAAAAAAATGAAAGATAACAAGAAATCGACTAAGGATGGAAGGTGGCCGAAGAAGACAGGTAGACATGAAGAGACGAACAGAAAGTGGAAAGAGCGGAAGTGACGTTCGACTTCCGGCAAATAGCTTTTCACTGATCTTGACGGTGATGTTGTTGACGTTATAAGGGGGAAGACGTTTACGGAGATGGCCGGCTTCCGTTTAGAGGTTAATGTCGGGAACCAGGCTGGAAAGTCGATGTGAAGGGAGAGAGCCTGATGGTTGAGTGACTCGGCAAAAGGTAAGAGGGTTGCTGTAACGAGGAGAGGATAGAATGGAATAAAGGGTGACGATCGATCAAAATGAGGTTGGAATGTGCGGGTATGGCATTTTAAAGGGTGGGGTAAGCTAAAGCTGCCAAGATAGAACATGGGTTGATGCATGAAAGACTGGATGGTTGAAGATGGAGATGCAAGAGAATAATCCCAAGCTGAGTGATTGATTGGATGAGGTGAATTGAGACTATAGGCGGTCGGGTTGGGGATACCTGTTTTGTGTAAATGCACGTGAATACCTCATACAGATATGCATGTACGTCTGTTTGTATGTGTGCGTTTGTATGTATGTGTTTGTGTCCCAATATGTGTACGTGTGTAAATACTGGAGTATACGTGCATATATTTATATTCCTTCCATGTGGCGTGTCCATTCAAGGCGTGAGCTATGATGGCTCTCCATAACTTCCTATCCCTTATAGCTTGTTTGAATATTTGCATTCTCTTTCTGATTAGGAGTATAAGTTTTCGTGTATTTATTTTCCTTAAAACTTCCTTGTTGCTCACATTTTCTGTCCATGGCATTCTTAACACTTATCGGTAGAACCACATCTCTGTCGCTTCAAGTCACTTCATGTGTGAGGAAATTATCCGGTATTCACTGATCTATCGGAGATTAAAATATGACATATTAGTTTAGCACTTTTTTCTTTGTTTCTAATGAAATTTTCCTTAATAATTTTCTTGGTTCCTTCAAGCCAACTTTCAGTATTCCAATGCACGTTCATTTTCTGTGTCATATTTTCTATCGTCAGTTACTCATTACCCAGATACTTAAATTTCTGTATCAACTTGAGTTTGGAATCTTTAATTCGTAGCCCTAACCTTGAGCTTTTTCTCATGCATATATTCTTTACAGTTAATTTTCCCTTCATTTCGTTCTCTTTTACAAGCTTGTCTAAGAATTCTTTCAGTTTTCTTTTGTTAGTTTGCCATCAACACAATGTCATCTGCGAATTTTATGTTATGATTATGTTCGACGATAAACTCTGGTATATCTTCCCGTTCATTGAATATAATATATCGCGGGATTATACAGTAATAGCAGTGTCAAGAGAAAAACGTCATTTGATACACCATCAGACATTGCCAAATTAATATTAATAATTATTTCATAATAAATGTTTTCTCTAGCCTTCAAAAAAGGCTTCTGAATCTCATTGATAGCATTTTTCACCCATTCTTTTATGAAGAATCCTTCTAGATTGGTCAGATTCGAAAGTTTCCGTTCATGAATAGCAATTTAAAATTCATGCTGCGTATTTTAATTGTTCAGAGGACTGATAATTTTATCGTAAACTTATTCTTCTTAAACCATATTAAGCGGTTTTCAAAGTATGTTTTCGATCGTTGTACTATTGGAAGACAAATTCCGACTATAGTCTAAACTAGAAATCAAACGGAACGATTTTTCGAAAACATGAAATGATATTTTAGCGAATACATTTTCCTGTCAATCCTGGTGAGTTCAAACAACTCTAGAAAATGATGTGTCTACCACTATGATTCACATTTGGAACAGTAATTTGACATCATGCGCTATTGTGTTCTCCTTAAATATACCATTGTTGTTCCAAAAAACGTTTATTTTTTGTTTAATTTGAGCAACACTCTTACAATAATCATTTGAGTGGTCGAAATTCATTTTAACGAATGCGAAATATACTTTCTTATGTGCTTTCATCAGTAGTAACTGTTTTACTTTCAACCCATTCACCAATTTCTTATCGGTTCACTGTTCTAAAATTTGTTGAGAAGATGTCCCTTATGCTTGATTTCCGGCTGACTGAAACTTCCGTTTTGATTTTAAAAACCTATCGTGTTGAAATCGCCCTTCAGTGACTCGATCCTGCCAACCGTTGATATACTAAAAATTTCGTTCCATTTATGAATGATAGCTAAAAAAAAAAAGTAGAACGGAGTATGTCAATTTTTTTCTTATAGATTTTCCCGGGCTGATAGTTCTCCATCAAATTTCCTTTGTAGTACCTTGGAATGTCCTTTTTTTTTTCCTCGTGAGCTCAAGGATGAATGAATGTTTCATTTGTAAAATAAACTTGTATAAGCATTTGAAAGCCATGTTAAACATTACAACATGCAGGATGTATGAGAATCAAGGAATTTTTATGTTATGATGACCTTGTTTGCAGAAAAATTACGAACACACATATACCTGCTCCCACAAGTTTCGGCCCAAAGAACTTACCAAAATCTCATCAAACATTGCGTTTAAGTATGAAAGAAAGTGTTGCGGTTCGATGTGTCCACTCTTGTATATACAGATATATATATGTGTGTGTGTGTGTGTGTGTATATATGTGTGTGTGTGTGTATATGTGTGTGTGTGTGTGTATATGTGTGTGTGTGTGTGTGTGTGTGTGTGTGTGTGTGTGTGTGTGTGTGTGTGTGTGTGTGTGTGTGTGTACTTCCAATATTTCACTAAATAAAAAGAGCATAGCATGATGAAAAAGGCCCCAAACTTGATAAAAACAATATTTTATCGTCAAAATGCTTATATTATTATTAAGAGGAAAGACTTTATTATTTTATTAATTTTTTGAATACATTTTAGCACGTTCGAAATTTTGGTTAAAAATCTTGTTTTTCTTGCGTCAGTGGGGCCAGTAAAATTAGTTTAGGAAATTTTAGCGTCTTTTTTGCGATAAAAATTGATTTGGAAATTCTTGCAAAAATCAAATAATTGTCAGATTTTAATGAAACTTTCAGGACAAAGGAATTAAATTATTTTAGAAACTTTTTTTTTTTTGAGAAAATTTTGGTAGAATATTTTTATATCTGTTACCCACCCCCATCCTTTACTTAATTAATAAAATTTTGAGAAATTAAATTTTGTCCCTCTTCATATTTATATTAGTTAAAAGCAGGACTTCTTGGAGAATGTAAATCATCAAGTTTTTTATTTCAAACAGTTACTCATTTACCGAAAATCTGCTCTGAATCATAAAATCAAAAAGGGAAATCAAACTAAGCCATTATTTAATTAGAGAAGCTTTTAGCTGCTTTTAGAAATAAGATATATTAAGGACACTATTGTCTTAAGAAAAAAAGTTTTCGATGAATAATGAATTTTTACAAAAAAAGCTTTTCACATTTTTATATTTTAATTAGAATAATTTATTAATTTTTGTGTATAAACATGTCGATTTTCTGTATACAGTAAGAAATATATATTATCAGAAATTAAGAGCGATAACTATAATAAATTTACAGCCAAAAAGATTTAAAATTCAATAAAACATTAGATTATGGATAATATTTTATTCATTTTTTAAAATTAGTGCGTACTTAAAAATTATATATAAAAAGTTCTCAGGTCAATTCAATTTCTTTCTTCGACATAGAACATGAGATAAATATCAACCTGTCATCAAGTTGTCAAACACGCAATCGCCTTAAATAAACAGCTACTGTTAAAGAAAATGCAAGTTTATACACTTGTCTGAAATCATAAAGTTATTTTGTGGTCAAAGTGGGATTTGTATTGAATTGTTTTGCTACTTCTCTTGCAATCTTTACGATGAGGGTAACCCTGTACAAGATCCAGGAATCATTCGAGTAAAATGCACAGTTTATGTGAATATGTAAGGAAGATAATGGTTAATCCTAGACATGAACAGGTTAAGATTTTACCGATCGCGAAAATCTACACTTGGGTGTCGGTTCCACAGAGCAGTGGTTCGCAGGAAGATGCCTGAGTGATACTTACTTCTCACCATTGGAGACTACTGCCCAGTACAGAACCCATTCACAAAATAGCAGTAGAATATCCCTGATATTATACATCTACAAATAGGATAACCTCCTTTGAAGTTACTCAGATTCGGATCCCTGATTATCAAACGGATAACGCCCCAAGACATAAAACGTCTACTTCCAGCACCCTTAATGAAGGGACGTATAAGCAAGGAAAAGTATACAGGCGTAATACCCAATGTGTACATATCTCATCTACCCAGAAATCAAGGCAACAGAACTCCTTGGATCAGAAATCATACCGACCAGAAACCTAAGGTACCAAAACAAACTCGCTCATATATATCAAAACTAAAAAAAATAAAAAATGTTGGGAGGGGGAGATAACGAAAGTTTCTTGTGGTGCGTATGCATTACCTACCGCTATTTGATTTAATATCGTTGAAGCAAAATTATTTGGGCGGTGGAAAGCATTGACAAGTTATGCATTTGTTACAACCAAAAAAATTACAAGTTTTACAATTTGTGCATTAACTTAGTAATTTAACTGAACAATTAATTTTGATCTTTATATTATTACTACTTGAGCCGTGCCAATCACCCGCATTTGCATTTATATTTCCGACCCACCCCGGCCTTTAACAAGGAAAAGAAGATCTGTGTAAAAGTACTGGGGTTAACTATATGATTACCTCCGAATATATGTGCCAGAACTATTGAAATGAAAGTGTTATTTACTATTAAGTTTCAAGCAATTCTGAAAGAATTAGATGTCCTACCAGGATTCAATTTTGGCAGCCACTACCTACAGAAGGTAGTGAAGGAAAGCGAGAAAAAAGGACTAAACATAAACTGCAAGAAGACAGAATGGATAGTTGTTAGTAAAAGGATGAGCCTAAAATCAAATTACAAATTGGAGGTATACGATATAAAACTAAAATAAAATTTTACAGCCAATAAGTGAAGCACAAAACAAGTAAGAGACGCCTACAAATAAATCCTACTAAAATCAGTAATTACGAAAAACCTCCAAATATCCTGGAAATAGGTTAAGGCGTGGGTCACGGAGTACGTTCCCATCAAAAATCAGATAGATTTCGTGAGCCGATCACCAACTCGCCATAAGCCATAAAACAACGACCAGATCTGAAACAAGACAGTCAGGTGACAGATAGGAAACAGGACAGTCAGCGGATAGATCTGCGAAACGGAACAGTCAGTGAACCAGCCAGGTTACCATGATAACGGGTCAATCAGCGATGATTTTGCTACATACAAAGCCGCGACTAATGTAAGTCTTCTATCCCCAGTCTGTTCAGTGTTTTTAAAATTATTGCTCGCGCACGCAATCTACGGACAGTGACAGACAAGTTTCGTTAGCA